GCTTTGCTTCCGCCGGGGTTCATCAACAACGGAAATACGTGCTTTATGAATTCCGTGCTCCAGGGCGTACGTTATTCCGTTGTCAGACAGGAGTACCACTGATTATATGCTGGCTAGTTAATCGCGACGAGGCTGCTCTCAGATCTCATATATTTCAGGCCTATCTCTCCCACTGATCAGTTCCATTCGGAGACCCGTCTTGAATCTCGGAGGTCGCCGTTACTCACCAATGGTGTCAAGGCCGCTGGGCCGGACAGGCAGGAATGGGTGGATACCATGCCTATCGGGGACGTATTTGTGAATGTCATGCTAAAGGCCTGGGATGTGCAGAGGGGCAGACGGAGGGAGAGTCAGTCTCCGAGGTGTGTCGCGTTTTACTAATGTTGCTGACTGGAAGTTGATGCCTGTGAACTGCGAAGGTCACTTCTCAGCGTGCTCGGCCGGAAATACGACCAATACCTTGATTTTGCGCAGCAAGACGCGCACGAATTTATGCGAATTCTGCTCGATGCTATGCGAATGGAGGAGCTCGATGTATGTATGCGCCTTTCCATTTACACTTTTCTAAATGGAATACAGACTATAAAGAAACGGCAGCCGCCACCGCCGCCTGAGAGGGCCAAGAGACGCCGCAGACGGACGCTGACCCCCTCCAACCATAAGCATGATGATGACAACAAGCTGCTGTCTCTTCCTGACATGATTTTCGGGGGCAAGCTTACGAGCATTCTGGTTTGTCAGAAATGCAAGCACGTATCACAGACATACGAGGACTTCAATGATCTGAGCCTCAGTATCAAACCGGAAGACTACGCAAAGGAGCGCAAACGCGACCGGCTACGGAACCTAGCGAAACGGCTGACTCCTGTATTCCCTGCGGCGTCTAACCTCGGTGTAGACAAGCCATCAGGGCACCGCTCATCGTCAGCACCGCCAAGTCCAAGAGAACCGGAGCATGGCGAGCCTCCCATAGCTGACGATCCTCGGCGTAGAAGTATGGATGCTCTGGCGGAACCACCTGCGGAGCCACATGTAGACAATGAAACAGTGAAAGATCCGACGGTTTCCGAGGGTGAGAAGCGACTTGAATTTGCAGATCTACCGAAACCGGAGAAGAAGGATAAAGGCAAAGATGACGGATGGGTCAAGCTGGGCCGCCGATTTAGTGTCAGTGTCGGGTTAACAAAGGCCGTCAAAGAGCGCAAGAGCCGGTCGAGAGAGAGACGTTCCAGTCACGACTTTTCACGTCCGGGTACACCCTCTGCGTCAGCCAGTGAGGACGTGTCGTCTTCTGAAGGGAGGCCGAGCATGTCTGAAGTATCTTCCATTCGTCTCACCAACCCAGACGCGCGAGAAACACCACGTATCCGTGCGCTATCTCCCCTCCATGTCATCGCAACACCATCCTCCAAGACGTCCAGTACGACGTCCATCCCTCGATTTGTCAACATTAGCCGAAGCAAATCTCCCAAACCTCCCAAACCATCTCGAGCCGAGCAAGCGTATCTGCGAAAGATTCTAGCGGACGTCACGTACCAATCTCCGCCCAACCCCTTTGCTCTCCTCAACCATCTGAATGGATCATCTTCGAGTTCCCATAACCATTCCAGTCATACGTCGCAGCATATGTGGTTGAAATTAGGTCAACTACTAGGCATCGAGGACTGTTTAAAAATGTTCACCGCCGTAGAAATCCTTGACGGGGAGAATATGGTTGGCTGCAGACGATGTTGGAAGATCGCCAATGGGCTGTACAACCCCAGTTCAAAGCGCGATGAAGGGGATGGCGACTCTGACAGCCTTAACAATCGTGAATCGCCACCGCTACAACAGCCCAGACCAAGGACACCGTCGTCAGAGACATCTACGAGCGATCTTCCAACATCTCTATCAAGTCCAAACATCCCACTATATTCTCATTCAGACTTCAGCAATACTGCAGAATCTATCGTATCATTGCCTACTACGATTGCATCGGAGTCTGTCGTGGGTCTCAAACATACTCCGTCCCCACTAACCCTAGCCAGTATAAACGGTGTTTATACCCCTGGTGGACTGCCAATTCCGTCAATAGCGACAATAGAGCCACCGGGACCTGACGACACTCTTTCAGTTCCGTCAGACTCGGACGATAGCCCGAATGATCCATCCTTTCCTAATGGTAGCGACAATACCCCTTCCAACGACATACCACAGGCGGACATATACACCTCAAAAGATTCTCTTCTGCCCGCACCTACGTACCGCCAGTACCATGGTCGGCGAAGTCTGGATGCTTCCGATGATAGTTCTGATGGCGGTGATAGCGAAGCTACGTCTGGAGAGTCTGGGTCTGCCCCGAAGGCCACCATTAAGAAAAAGCCAAAACCCGTCATCATGCGCCCCGCATACAAACGATACCTCATCGCGACACCTCCGCCTGTCCTCGTTGTTCACCTGAAACGCTTCCAGCAGATCTCTAAGACAACGATGATATCCTTTTCCAACGGCTTTAAGAAATTGGATGATTATGTGTCGTTTCCCGAGATCTTGGATCTGACGCCTTTTCTTGCGCCCAAGAAGGAGGATTTCTTTGATCGAGGGAGCAAGCCACATGCGAAAGAGGTAGAGAGATGTTTATATCGCCTGTATGCGGTGGTGGTGCACATTGGTAGCATGGTGAGTTATATATGTGCCCAGAAAACGAAATACTGACTGGCGATTACAGCTGGGGGGCCATTATGTCGCTTATACTGCCCTTCCAACTTCGAGTCCCGGGGAGGACAGTCTGAAGACGCCCACTTCTGCCAATTCAAATCCTCAAAAACCGCGTAGACAGTGGGCCTACATTAGTGATACGATTGTTCGATTGACGACCTTGGAAGAAGTGCTCAAGGCCAAGGCGTACATATGCATGTACGAGAGGATATGACCTGTTGTTTGTGTAGCTAACTTATTATCTTTTCGGCCTGTTCATGTAAGTAACAATTGTAACATAATAGAAGGATGTGATGTAGCTAAAAGATGACAGTGGGCGCACACTGTCTTTTTCTGTTGGGCACTGTTTCTCAAGATAACATGGCCGGGTGGTGCATCGCGGCGACAAACCCCTTCGAGGTTCGCAGGTAGTTTCTCCCACGCATTGCCTTTCATCCTGGGTCCTCAGACCTGTACTCTTGTGGGACATTGGGTTAAAGAAATTCCTTGTCGAATATCGTCGTTATACTTCCGCGGAATTTTTTCTATGCTGAGACATAGGCATAACGGGCATTCAGAGACATACGGGACGCTTATTCTGGTATATGTTGCTATTCGATGAATGATGGCTACCAAATCGGCCTTCGTTGGAGCCTATATCTCAACGTTTCTGTATGGTATGCGTTTGTTTATCCTCACCCTGGGGTTCTGCGCTGAACTCCTTCTACAGGCGCATATATAGTGATCGCTTATCATTGCAGCCTTGTTATGTATCACCGCTACAAAACGAAACAACTGCATATGTACCTCTTGGGCACTCATGTTGCTCTGTTTCTTCTCATAAATCTGGTTTGTTCCTGTCCAGTAGGCTTCTGTCAGCGACTAAATGAAGATGTTTCAGCGCTGTATAACAACTATTGTCCGCACTCTGTATGCTATAACGCATCAAGAACCGGATGGTACAATCAACTTACACCCGCTTTGGTCGAGCTGGAGCCTCGTTGAAAATTCGGCATGGGTTCTGACCGTTCTTGTAGCTGATGCTTTCCTTGTAAGATCAACATCTTTTTTGGAGGCTGATACTCACGGAGACAGATCTATCGCACGTTCATCGTTTGGATGAACAAGTGTACTGTGGTTGTTGTTCCTCTGTTACTCTTCGTTGCGGATGCCGGTAAGGAGTACCGTTTGTCATGGTGTATTCATTCAAACGCCACCGTTAGGAGCTGGCATTTACGTGCTAGTTATCCTGGCGAAATCCACAACAATGCTTCACCGTCAGCTCAATGCCAACAGAGCCTTCGGTGTTATGACACTGGTTGTCAACGTTGTATGTACCGGTAAATATCCTCAGTCGATACATCGTGCCACTTCTGAAGCTCGTCTCATTGGATAGCTCTCATCTCCTACCGCATTTGGATCGTACGCCGCAATGTGTCTGGGACAAGACTAGGCCCCGATCCATTGACTGGTGTTATAGCGCTCATTGTAGAGTCCGGTCAGTTGAAAATAGCGTCTCCATGCCGTATTAACATTCGCTCTGTTAGCTGTTGTGTACACCGTCCTACTCATTTGCCTCATTATCACCCTGGGTTTAGGGAGTTTCGTTTACTATGTGCTCTTTGACATACAATCTGCTGTTATCGGCATCGTTGTACGTGTCCTTAACTCAGCATCCACCTCAATTAATGTAGTTCTTTAGTTTTCTATGATCATTATTCGCGTCAGTCAGGGTCAAGCTCACGGTGACACTAGTACGGACGCAGTAGTCAGCAGCGTTATACGATGGCAAGGTTCGACTGATGTCACGAACCCTCCTGGGGCAGAGGTTTCCAATCTGGAGATCAGGCTCGAGACAGTCATTGGCACGCACCACGATAATGTCGAAACTCAGCATGAGGGCTCAAAACCGTCGAATGAGACAGATCATGAATCTGTTGTCTCAGCGACATACAAAACCTAATTTTACTTATAGGCGTAATCATTAATCCGTACATCTCGTTAATCAACTAAATCGTTTCGACACTGTTTCAGTTATATAGTATCTCCGACAGGTATGTCTGTTTGAGGTATCGCGGGAAGCTGCGAGAAGGTTCAAGTCGTATAATGCCAGGGGATTTTTGGTCCGGTACTTACTTGATATGAATCGCTTTAGTAGAACATTCTAGATAGTTCTCGAGAATGCAAGTTTATTAGTCTGGCTTTACCGGCCAGGTTACCCACTGCGAACCAGTCGCATTCAGTACGTTTAAATTATAGTACGTGGAAAACTAGCTCACGTATGCATTGTATACTAAAGTACGTCTCAATAAGGCAAAATGTATGGTAACATGGCCGAGTGGTCTAAGGCGCTGGAATTAGGTTAATGACGTAATCCAGTCCTCCGGGGCGTGAGTTCGAACCTCACTGTTATCAGTCTCTTTTGATCCTTTAGAGTCTAAATTTTTCTAACTTTTTGAGCTTTGAAGTTTATGGTCTACATACCCTTATGAGCTCTCTTTATCTCGGACAGGTTTCGCGGCCTGGTCTGGTGCCGAAAAGTAGATCCGGTCGATCCCTAGACGCCCGTAGGTAGGCAAGATAAAAAAACTGTAACATTCCACTGGAATCAATTTCACGCATCGGTTCGCCCTCCCTTCACCGTTAGAACGGCCCCGGTTGGATATCATGAAGGCCGGAACCCATAACGGTCGTGCTGCTCACCTCTGCTGTAACATCAACGTGATGAGCTATAAACCACTGTGCACTACCTAATAGCAGGTCTTGCGTCTACTAGTAGTGCCAAGGACGAATGTCGATTTACAACTAGCTTACCCATCCTGTGAGAGAATGACAACTGTTGAATTATCCTCTACTCGAATGGGCCAGAGAAATGTGTATAGGAAGCATCGCAGCTTCACCATTGACAAATGGCTGAAGCGTGGGAGCTAGCATTCTATGAACTTTGGCGCCCGTATCTTTGAATTCAAATGTCCTAACCATAACGGCAAGGAGGGTCTTGACCTGCATCACACCTAACGAAATATCAAGCGACATATACAAGATACGCGAGGAAGGACGACGCACCCAAACGCCACCCGATGCACATACGAGGACCATCAGCAAAGGTAGATATGTTGCTCCATGGTCCGTGTGGGAGGTCTGTCGACGGTGGTACGCCATTAGGTGTTATCCACCGTTCTGGCACAAATTCTAAGGCCTTAGGGCCCCATATTGCGGGATTAGTGTTCAGAAGTGTATAGGGAATCGTGAATTCCTGAGCAAAGCGGTTTCAATATAATCAATGGGGGTTTACAAGGGGACACATACATCGCCAGCTCTTACGGGAAGAACGCTGATAGTCTCACCGGTTTGTAATGTGACGGGCCAACGTAAAGGGATGGTATCGTCGCAAATGGCTATACGATGCGTTTCCGCGGATGAAGGGTGCAGGCGAAGACTACAACGGTAAGAGTCAGTGCCAACAGTAACGACTCGATACCTAGATCTATTAGCAGACCTTTCACGCGTAACGGCATCGAGGTACGGCAAGTTCTCGACGGTCTTCCAGTCCAATTCAGCCCCAACAAGTTCTTCTCGAAGTCTGCTCTGCACCTCCGTATTCTGTGCTAGGTCAAGTAGAGCGAACGCTACAACACCCGATGAAGTTTCAAAACCGGCCATTCTGAAAGGCATGTCAACAACAGCAACTTGCAAGCCAGGGTGAACTGTTACAAAAGAGTTGTGATCTGTATAAGGTATTGGAATATGAAGAAAAGGAAAGTAGAAATCGGCTAACATTGTCAATCAGCTGTTGATTAGATAGCTTCACTCCTAGATTTGTTCTGCCTCCCCATGATTCCCTCACAAGGATAGAGAAGATGTCTTGTCCATCAATATTCGAGGGCTGTTTCAATAAGTCTGCGGCAACTCGTCGGAGAACTTTCTTCGCGAGGCCCTCCTCTTGGAAAGCCGCGATCGGGAGCTTTGCGATCCAGGGAAACATGCCGATTAATCTAAACGCCAGGAAAGCGTGGAATGAGGTGAAATTTTGAATATCTTTACGCCATGATCCAAGGATAGCCTGTACGTCTGAATTTTCATAGCTAAAGTCACGCCCAAAACCAACTCGACATATGGTCTCAAGCCTAGGAAAAATAAGTTACGTGCTGAGTGGTCGGATTTAGGGCCCGGGGACGTACGAGCACGCTGGTATGTATAAACTGAGATTAAATACTCCCGCGTTGACACCTTGAGCTTCAAGTTCGCTTGCCAATCTAGAAACACACTTGTCAAATCACATTTAATACTTCGTCCACCTTGAAAAGGAGAGCGAAATCAAAACTTTTCGGCGCATTGTAAAACATCGTCAGCCATTCCTTTGACTGCAGAAAGCCTGCAGGATGGAATTTCATAAGCAATCGTAGCAGAAGTAACAACGACTTGCGTGAAGGCAGGTACTAGGAGCCTGCGCTGGAATTTATGTTCTTCACCTTCTGCCCAGGCGACACCTCGACCAACATATTTGACCACGATTGGCTCGAAGGCTTGAGACTTTACTGCCGTTTAGCATGTAAGCAATCATGGGGACACTTGAAACTCAAAAGACACGCATACAATAGGTATATGCGTTCTGGAAGACGGCTGGTGAGATCTCGGGTGAGAAACATTGGTTCGCGTACATACCTGAAAAATATGCTGGGCAACCAGGTTGTCTCCGACGATTACCTACGGTACGCACGTTTTAGTAATTAGTAAACTTGGGTGACCTATGCAATGAGCTAGAGTGTACGTACGCGATCTCTTTGAAAGAGCGCAGTTTTGATCCTGAAAACTTGTCCCAACAGAGCAGCCCACCGCATATACTCTGCGCTGACCTCACCCTTGGCTACCTTGTATTCATGCCCCCATAAGATACTTGCCTCTTCAGCGGGCTGAGATAGAAGAGAAGTTAGATCAGCTTGTATGCGCGTATTTCCAGTGAAACTGTTGACTCACAGCGACTGGAAGTCTAGAAACTACCGAACGCCTGTGAAAAAATTGTTGAAGAAGGAGGGCGGCAGCGAGAAGAGCAATACCCGCAGAAAGGATGGTGAACATGGCCGTCACTGAAGGAAAGGGACCAATGGGATTGACGTAGAAGCTAACCGTACTGCTATGCCCTAAAGAAGACAGACGGGTTGAATGATGACATAACAGGTTCCTTCGTGGTTGATACACAACTCTTGCAATGTGTACTACGTGGAGCATGTGCGGCAGGCATAGAACCGGGGAAGCAGGAATGTAGGTGACTTCTCCACCATATCCCATGCCAGGGTCGCGCTTTGATATTGACTAAATCTTCTGTGTGCTATTTCTATGGGCAGCACGAGGATGGAAAGATTAGTAGTCGACACCATTGCAAGGTCTTCTTTCGTTGGCTTGACGTTATTACTGGAAAGACTTGCTCAAACACAGTGGCAACATCGCTTTGTATACAAAATGAAGACGAATTACTCCATATGTGGATAAACGAGAGAAATGTGTAACGGAAGCGTTGCAGCCTCACCGTTGACGAACGGCTGGAGCGAAGGCGACAGCATCTTATGGATTTTGACACCAGAGTCTTTGAACTCGAATCGCTTGATCATAATAGCGAGAACAATCTTAATCTGCATCACAGCTGACGAAATTGTCAGATAGATTTCATAAGACAGGAGAAAACCCAACACACCTAAACGCCATCCGATGCATGTGTGAGGGCCATCACCAAAGCTGGCGACATTAGTCCAAGGTCCATGTGGAAGATCCTTTGGGGGTGGTACCCCATCCGGTGTCATCCATCGCTCAGGGATAAATTCGTGAGCGTTAGAACCCCATATCGCCGTATTAGTGTTCAAGAGTGTATACGGAATCGTGAATTGCTGCAAAAAATAAATCTTATCGAGACCTCGAAATCGTCCAAGTTTACAAACTCACATCGCCGGCCTTGACAGGAAGGGCAGTAATAATCTCGCCATTTTGAAGTGGGACGGGACGGTGCAAAGGAATAGCATCACCGCACTTCGCTGTGCGACAAGTCTCTGCAGAGGAAGGATGTAAGCGGAGGCTGCAAATGTCCGAGTCAGCCACTGGAAACGTTAGTAATGGAGGGCGGACCTTTCCCGTGCAACAGCATCAAGGTAAGGGAGATTCTCTATGCTCTTTGAGTCGAGTTCGATACCTGCCAGCTCTTCTCGAAGTTTGGTCTGGACCTTTAAATTCCTTGCCAAGTCCACCAGTGTGAACATTACATTTCCCGACGAAGCTTCGAAACCGGCCATTCTGCAAACGAGTATATGTTGTCCTGGTGAGTATTACAGACCAAGATAAATTCTTACATGACAGTTGTAATCTGTATGACGGGGTTAGACTATGATATAGAATAAGCAGTGATTGACCAAGATTATCCAACACCTGCTGACTGGATAATTTCGCACTCGAACCATCCTTTCCGTTCCACAATTCCCTCAAAAGGATAGAGAGAATATCGCTACCGTCAGGACTCGAAGGCTGTTTCAGTAGGTCTCCAGTAACACGTTCAATTACCGTCTTCGCAATGCCGTCTTCCTGTAAAGCGGCTATCGGAAGCTTTGCAATCCAGGGAAACATCCCAATTAATATCGGCGCCAAGAAAACCGAAAACGTAGAAAATTTCTGCACATCTTCGCGCCATGACCGAAATCACGTCCGAATCCTACTCGACATATCATCTCGAGCCTAAAGAACAACTTCGAATAAGCCAAGGTAGACAGGAAATTATACAGCACGCACATGCAAGGCGGGATGTACAAACTAAGATTGACTATCCCTGCATGGCCTTGAGCATCAACTTCACTTGCCAACCTAGATGCACACTTCAGAGAATCTGAGAACAGTGCCTGTCCCGACAAATAAATCAGTCTGTACCTTTTCAGCGCATTGTATGACGTCGTCCAACATTTTCTGGACTGCAGAGGGTCTAAGCCGATGCATTTGTCGACTGAGCAAAGAAGAGGAAAGTGAGAGAATAACGCACGTAAAAGCGGGTACCAGTAATCTGCGCTGAAACTTGTGTTCTTCGCCTTCTGCCCAAGCAACACCTCGACCAACGACTTTGACCACAATTGGCTAGAAGGCTTGAGACTTCACTGTCATCGGGCATAAGTAACTGCGTAGACACTAAAAACTTAAAATACCAGCATACGATAGATATCTGCGTTCTGGATGATGAGTGGCGAGATTTAGGGTGAGGAATACTAGCAGCGTACATGCCTGAACAATATGCTGGGCAACCAGATTGTCTCCGACGATTACCTATAATAGTACGTACGTTTTGATAATTAGTAAACTTAGGTGACCTACGCAATGAGCTAGAGTGTACGTACGCGATCCCTTTGAAAGAGCGCAGTTTTGATCCTGAAAACTTGTCCCAACAG